GTTCCGGTTTTTCTAATGCTCTTATTTGAAAATGTCTTTCAAAAAAATTTTTAAATCCAACTTTTTTGTAGCAAATTCTTAAATCTTTTTTTCTAGACAAATGATGGCATGTACAGTTCGATTGTTTAAAAAATTGCATTAGATTATGAACTGCATCAAGAACTAATTCATTGTCTTTGTATTCTTCTAATCTCAGTTCAATTAAATTGTATACTGGTCTTAAAGAATCCGAATCTAAATTATCCATGCTTAAATCTTCAGACGATGACATAAAGATATTAATTATATAAAGCTAAATGCTATCAAACAAAAAAAAATTTTGTATAGTTTAAACATACTAAATGCGCTCTTTTAAATATACATTACACTTTCAAGATTTAGAATTAAATGCCTTTTACATATATTTTATATATTCAAAAATTACATGTAGAATCCTGGATATACACTCTGTAAGTATACATTATAATTATTTATTTTAAAACGCCTTATAACTAAATAAAAAACAATACAAATACATGTGCTTTTTATCTTTTACTATAAGATACAGAATAAATGCTATTATTATTTAGACTTGAATTTAAAATTCACTGAAAACTACATATTAAGAGGCAAATAATTAACTTATAATACTACTATACAATATCAGTTTATTACTCATTATTAAGAAACTAGAACTACTATCTTGCAATAACTTGTGTTTATATGCATACATATTATGCGTACATACAAGCTTTAACAAATTATGGCTAAACAATTGCACCAAATTAGCGAAGATACAGATAGCTCGTCAACGAAGTGACGGAGTGCTCATTATTGCGAGATCCGATGACTTGTTGCAAATCTGATCTGTGTTTTTGTTTTTCTGTTTTGGGTTAGTCTAATGTTTTTTTTTTTAGGGTTCTTGTCGGATGCAGGTTTCTGGTGCGTTACTAGAAATTGATTGCATATGATTAGTAATTGTTAAGTTGTTATAATTATCAGCAAAGAAGCAAGTTATTGTTAAGTTGTTATGAATATCAGCAAAAGAGTAATGATTATCAGGCCCAGGGGGTAAGAAGCGAGATGTGCACATGTGAATTGTAGGGAAAGGGAAGTGTTATAAGGATGGCTGTTTGGGAG